CTCCCTACCTGTTCACCTCTTCCCCACTCCCCACTTGTCACCCCTCCCCCACACCCCATCTATTCGCCCCTCCCCCACTCTCCACCGGATCACCTCTTTCCCACCTCCCATTTGGTCGCCCTTCCCCCATAGCCCCATCTGCTCACCCCGCCCCTACAGCCCACCTGTTCCCCTATTCACCCTCCCCCAGTTACCACCTTTCACCCTTCCCTCACTCCTCACATATTCACCCCTCCCCAATCCCCTACCTGTTCACCCCTCCCCCACTATGAACTGTCACCCATGAAAAGAAGAAACAAAATCCAGGGTATGACCTTCTGGACTCACAGTGTCCTTCAAAAACGATGCAAAGACACTCCAGGGAGAACAGGCTACAGCAAGAATGTTGCATTTTTGCAGATGTTTAAAACATCGATCAACTCTTTTGGATTAAGGCCCTGGTGGAAAAACCAACCCTTGGAGCTGATGCAGCTCATCCAGTTCTTCCCTCTTAGTACAGACGACAAGATGAGGGCATCTGAGCAGAGAAGTGGCTACTGCAGGGATACCTGGCCAGGTGGGGTCAGTGGGAGTTGAAGCCCAGTGACTAGAAATTGGTGGCATCTCCAGGTGGGGCAGTGCACCAGGCACACACAGCAGAAGCAACGGACAGAGCTGCAAGGTCAGTGTTTCAGGAATTCCTAAAGGGAGGAGCCAATGGCAGAGGGATGCTAGAGTGTGGGTGGAAGGGGGGCCCAACACCTGAGAAGTGGGAGCCCAATACCAGTCTCTCAGATGACAGAGGTCACCAGCCCCTTGAGAGCTGGGCACAGCAAAAGACAAGCCTGCAGAGACCAGGAGAGGCCGAGCAGACACTTGACAACAGAGGAGCCATGTCTGAACCACTCAGTGTGCCCATGCTGGCTCAGGACTGGGGCACAGGCCAGGATGCCACCCCCATCCAGCCAGCATGGCCTCTGGGAATTCTGAGACAGAGGGGGCATGGTGGAGAGGACACTTTTGTCCATCTGCAATTTTTATGGGTCAGGAAAGAGAAAAGAAACAAAGACAGGTGATTTGGCCACGAGGGGCAGAGCTCCTGAAAGAACGAACCAGGCATCCCTGCAGTACCGATTTATTTTATTTCATTTTTTAATCTCAAGAAAAAGATAAGCTAATATTGTGGGAACAGAATATTTTTTTAATTGAAACTCCCAGCACCCTCAAAACAGAAAACAGAAAGAGAGCGGTGACACAGATTCATGTAACAATGTGGGATTCCATCCTGTGACGGAGGGACTATGTCCAGGCGCCAGTTGCGCAGTCAGCAGAAGCTCCAGAAGCTCCATCGTTATTTGTGAACACTCACGTTAGAAGAAGGCAATGTGGGCTCTCCTCGAGAGGGATTCACTTGGAAAACCAATTACCATCAAATGCTGCACATTTTCAAGACTCGGCCCAGACTGTAAATCAGGAACACCCCCAACAAGCTAAAGCAGTATGTGGTACTTGAGGGCCCGGGGGACCCTGTTGATAACCAGCCTCCCATCGTAGCTCAGGGAGGCAAACAGCCATGGGTCGGCTGAGGACCAGTCCACGGCGTACACGCTGTCTTCATGCTCCTCGTAAGTTGCAATGACATTGTCCTGCAGGGGCTCCTTACTCCTGCAATCCGAGAAAAACACGGATGTGAGCAAGGCAGCACCAGCTGAGTGGGCTGGAGAGGACATGAGCAAGGCCACCAGGACACGGCTGGGTCCCGTGGCCTTGGGAAGAATGACAGGAGCCCACACTGAGGCCAACGGATGGCCCCTGCAGAAGTACAGGAGTCCTTGCTACAGCTGTGACGAGCAGGGATTTCTCGAGTGGTCTGTGGAAGTCCATGTTATTATTTGGTGGTATCTTGGCAACTCTGGTCCTGAGACCCTGGGTGCCTGGGGTGATGTTCTGTCAGAGATGTGATGACGGGCCTCCTTGGTTCAGGGGAAAGGATGTGAAAGGACATAGGGAAATGGCCACTGTGTCTGAGGAAAACAGGACCTACAAGCTCCTATAACCTGAGCAGAAAGGACCTCGGGGAGCAGCTAGACATCTGACAAGGTTACAGGGCATCACCAGGCCCAGTATCCCAGGAAGAGGCACTGCCAGTGGCCAGCAGATGCCATGTGACAAATACCAAGTACATACATCCTCATGGGGGGTTTCTATTTTCCCACGTTTAACAGGACATCTGAATTGCAGGTTGTCATCAGAACATGCCTGCCGGCCACAGACACCTCCTTCCTTCTTCCCTTGCTCCTGTGAAGCCGCCCACATGGAGGGTAACATAGGCATCCACCACACAGGTTCCAACTAAGTAAGCAATCAGGGTGTCCCCAAAAGACATATTCAGCCAGTAACCGCAGACCACCCTGGGCCACAGACAGAAGGGATGGCAAAAAAGTCCACGTCCACAGGGCACCACAGGAGAATGCTGGGCAGAAGCCACCACACTATGCTTCAATACTGCTTTAGGTCAAGTTTCTAAGTGTCCAACAGAAAAAAAACAGTCAAGAGACAAATGGGCAGATCAGCACTGCAGAAGGCTCCAGATTCAGAGACGTCTTCTCACAGGGTAATTTCAGACTAAGCTCAGGCAGGCAGAGGCAGAATTCCAACAGTGAAACAGTGAAAAGATCTCAAAGCAGAACAACAAACCCTGTCGTATCTGTGGGCTCAAGTGGCTCATCCACTGGGCTTTATACCAGCACCCCCTTCCCCTGGAATCTGAGACCTGAATTTTGGCAGTAGGGTCTGAACCATGCTCAGTCACTACAGAAGCAGCAGCTGCCACCCACACATGAAAATGAGCCAGCTCAAGAAAACAAGGGGCCCCCTTTTAATACTCATACCGCTGATGAGGCTGAGGGTTGCCTACTGCTTTCCCACGGTGCAGAGACACGTGTGGCTGTGCTCAGCTCACTCTGGGAGTTCCAATGACAGCCTCTGATGCCACTAACCAGGACCCCATGTGTTACAAGGACCCCAGGTGTCTCAGGATCCCTGCTGTTACTCCCTGGGGCCCCAAGTGTCACAGGGACATGAGCGTGGAGCCCGACATGAAGAGGATGGCTTTAACTACCTCCCATCTAGGATGCAGTCAGGAACAAAAAACAGAATACAGAGCCAAAATGTTGTGGCTGGAACACATACAACATGGTTGGCCATATGTTTTCAAGAGTCTGGAGCAAAGTATGACCTGGGTTTTGGACTAAGAAGGTTGGCCTGGAGTGTCCATGAGCAAATGGTCAACTCTGAGCTACACTACACACGCTCCAATTCACAACAGTGAGGACACTGATTAGTAGCACATCTCTTGTGGGAGTACTATGAGGACCAGTAGGTGCCAGTTCCTGTTATTATTCGTGTTCAAGTTGAAGGTCAGTGACAGTCTTTTAAATCTTATATGTGGCACTCAAAAAGACTATAAAAAAAAACATTGAGAGATACATATTTTAAAGCTACACCAGAAGGTGTTACCCAACCCACCTACAGTGCCTTTTGAACTGCGAGTCCCTGTCACTGCAGCAAGGAAGGGGATATCACCTAATGACACACCTGGATCTTTCTATACATACAGCCTAGGCCAAGAGGTTACTTGTGAGGAAAGGGAGGCTGCCACACCAGTGCGAGCCGCCCAGCAGTGTGTGTGTCCTTACTTCTCCTCGGGATGGTGCTCCTCCTGGTCACTGATGTCGTCGTCGTCCACCAAGTGGCCAAAGGGCTCGGAGGAGATGGACACCATGTTGGAAAGGATGACTCTGCTGTCGCTGCTGCCAGTGAGGACCAGCTGGTCGTGAGAGTGGTTGTAGCGGACGCTCCACACCCTGCAGGAGGCGAGGGCAGCTGCTGAGATGACCTGCCCCCACGGTGACCTCAACAACACACCAGTGGGCTCTGAGGACCTCACTGGGGTGCAGTTCGCGTTAGGTGCTGTGGTCGTCGACCCCAGTCACAAGGTCAGATGTTAGGCAGTTTTCAGCAGATAGGTTTACTGCACGCTTCTCTAAAACATTCTCTTAAGTCCCAACAAATGGCAAGGAAGACTAAATGTGAGCTTAAGCTGCAGGTGAGGCTTATTGCTCAATGTTCCTGACAAGCCCTTTAAAATTCTAAAGACAGAAATTGCCCCAGAAGTAACATATGGATTAGTAGATTAGCGATAGCCCATGATACCAAACAAAATCTCATGACACCTTCCCAGTCAACAGTTGCTACAGGTCTTGAGGCAACAGCAACGGCAAGAGCACAGGGCCCAGGGGTCTTTTTTGAGCTTTGACTACCAGGATGAGCTTTCTCTGACAAATGCCCTGGAGTTTGGTAAGCTTCACCCTCCCAGTTGTGCCGAGGCTGAGACTGCCTCCAGGGCTGAGGGCAGCAGACAGTGCCTGACAACTCACACTTGGAGACACAGGGCAGGGCCGGGGCCATGGCTGGGCCTATCTGCTCAGACGGCGGTAAATTACAGCAACTCGCTGAATTTGTCAAAACCTAGTATTCTGGGCTTGTTACATTCTCTGATTGCAGAAACAATATGGCTTCTGATAAGAAATTCTAGCAATGCAGAGTCATGGGCCATAGGAAGCAGAAGCCCCTGCTCGCCTGGGAGAGAATTACTGATGAGTTTGGTTCTTCCCCTTCCAGACTTTTCCTCTGTATACCTTGTGTGCGTACCTATATGTGTGCACATATGCACACTTTATTTAATAAAAATGGACTCACACTATACGTACTATTCTACAAGTGGATCTTTTTACCTGCTTAGCAAAAAGCACCCACATATGAAAAATATGAAAATAATATTTTAAAAAGATTCCATGATCTTGGGCATCTTTCCACATCCATACATATACAGACGTTCCTCATTCTTCCTGACAGCTGCATAATCTCTGCTGTGCGGATGTCACCTAATTTACTTAACCTATCCCCTACTGATGGACATTTGGGTGGTTTCCAGTTTTCTGGCATTGCAAACAATGCTGCATGAACATCTGCGCACATTTATTTTCGCATACTTGAACCAGCACTGTTTTGAGAGAAAACAGAATTTAATGTTTTTCTTCTTTTCCTACGTTTATAAATCACAAACATTCAGATTTGGAATTAGTGTTTCTTTAGGAAAAATAAAACTGGGTTGATTGAATGATTCACAGCAGCACAAACTAAGCTGGTTTGTGTCTTTCCCAATGGTAAAGTAATTAGCAAAATAAATTGCATAATCCCTTCTTCCCTGAAGCAGCATGCAGATGAGCTGCCCTACCAGTGGGAGTGTTCCTCCAGGGTCTTCACAGGCTCAGTGACATTTCGGGTGTCCCAGAACTTCACCTTACAGTCGTCTCCACAGCTAGCCAAGTAGTATTGCTTATTGGGATTAAAGTCAAGGTCTCGCACCAGCTGTCCGTGGGCATTCTCTATGCAGTAGATCTGGCTGAGGGAGGAAAAATAAGAACAGCATTAAAAAATATTAAATGGATTATGAAAACCCACTGAGTTCTGCAGGCATGCATCAGTTTCCCGGGACCCTGTCTAATCCCCTGGCCTGGGGCGTTTGGGTTCCCTCGATGTTCCTCCCCTGCATGAAGAGGCTGGCGCCAGGCACCTTCATCCCAGCAACTCTCAGCAGTAAGGCTGCTCTGGTCCCTCCAGGAGTGTATCTGTGACACTCCGGGTGAGCTGTGGACGTGATACTTGTTTGCAGCCGTCAAAAATGTGATTTGGTATCTTGAGAATAAGAGTGTGCCAGAGGGTCTGCAGCTGTCACCGAGAGAATGAAATAGACTTTTGGACAGGAAATGGGACAAATTTTTGGAAGGATACAGTGAGGAAAGAAAAAATGATAGAACAAAGGTATAATATATTGTTATGTTCTTGGTTTTGGGAGAGACGTATAAATGTGTGCATATATGTATGTATATGTATATGGGGGTAGGGAGGAAAAGTTGCAAAAGCTATGAAAAAAATGAAGGAAATGATGTTTGTTACTGTGGGACTTGTTGTTTATCTGTTCACACCATCTCAGAATGTCAACACTGATGGCTCAGTGCAATCCACTCACTCCAAAGACAGAAGACGGTAGTTGTCTGAAATTAGTCACACAGCTGTTTTTTCGATGCATGTGCACTCACAGACATACACACTCACATACTCATGCCCACACATGTACGTGCTCATACATGCATGAGAGGGCAGGCCCACGGTTGCACGCACGCACACTCAAACATACACACACCTAGCATAAGCCTGGGTCCCCAAGGTTTCTGGCTGCTCTCACAGGGTCTGAAATCACAATATTCTGACTATTATGCCTTCTCCTCTTCATGAACCCAGAAGAGAGGGCAGGTCATTCAGTGAGACTGGAGAGTGACTAGGAACAAAAGACCACATCCAGTACACCCACGGGCCCACAGCCTGTGGCTCTGGTCACACTGCCCTCCCACCTCCTCTTGGGTGAACAGAAATCTCTCCTGCACCATTTACCTTCCTCGCTTGGCGGCTTCAGTGGGAATAGGGAACAACCGGGAATATTGTTTGTGCTTTGTGATAATCTTTCACCATCATTGTTCTCTGCTCTCCAAGGTAGACAGACTCAATTCCTTTCTACTTTTTCCTCCCACATTGGATTTTTCAGCCCTAAAGCGCTTTTAAATCTTCTAGTTTGTATATCCTGTGCATTTTCAATATCCTCATTTTTTTCCCTAAAATATGATACCCCAAACCTTAAAATCTTTAAAGGAAACAGGCAAAGGTATAAAATTAAAAATTTGGCAGATTCCTAAGGACTTGTATGGATCGTCACACATGTACTAAGTGTCAGCAGCAGGTTGACTGCATGCCCTAGTGACAATAATTTTAACACAAAAGCACAATATCACCCAAAAGAACCACCAGAGGCATCCTGGGTAAATAAAAAACAAAGATGTTTGCAAAAGGAGAAATAGTCAACGAGATTGTGCCAAGACTCCCTCTGCTGTGGTCCCACTTCTGCAGAAGTCAGCTCTTTGTCACAAAGACACGCATGGGCAAAACAGGTCACTACAGGATGTCACCAATAAAGCCATGTGCACTCTTTTTTTGTTTTTTGTTTTGTTGTTGTTCTCTAATGCCAGCCTTCGAGTTCTTGTCTTTAGATACTGAAATTCTTCACATCCTTCAAAGAACAATGAAAACAAAGAAAAAGATGACCATAGGACGTCGAGAAACAAACTTTAGTAGGATTTTCATCATGGCCGAAGCCTGTGGCTTCCAGCTTCTGATTAGGAAACCAAACAAATCCTTTGCACAGATATGCACAGGCTCAGAAAGTGGCCATTGATTATTTACTAGTCCCTAAATGTTCAGAGGGCCCTCAGAACTAAATTTAAAGTTGTGCCCCCACCCTGGAAGCAACACAAGTTATTACACGACATCCATCTTTTCGGCTCAGTGATAAATTATGGTGTGCTGAGGGGATAAACTGTATCTTTAAAAAGCTTGTGTGGGCTTCTGTTGCCATGGCAACAGATGTGCCACCATCACTCCTTTGCCTATCAAGATCACAACTGGAACAGAAAAATCGCTCTTATTTGTTCCATTAGAACTGCTGGTTGTTGCGTATAATTACTTAAATGACACAATATGATTACCCGACAGGTATGTCTCTTGCAGGCACAGAAATGGCCAAAGATAACTCCATAAGAGAGGCTGAACCAGGGTACTGCAATTGTCAACCCGCGGTGGCTAATCACGGAGACAGGGCATCCCGTGGTCACTGTCTCGCTCGTGAAGTCTTACGAAAGCCCTGATCTTAGTCTTCATTATAAGCCGCCGCTAATGCAGAGATACCAATATGGAACATTAAACAACCAACTGAGGTATGACGGCCCCACAGCAGCGGATGTGCGAGCTTCATCTGGGGCGAAGAAATAAGATGGAGATTTATGACTTCCCACGAAAACGAGATGAAGACAAACAAACCGTGCGTCCCACGTGCACCTGGCTCTGGTCACCTCTGTCACAACCTGGCTTCACTCAGTGAAAGAGGAAAGGAGAAGGGGAGGCAGCCGGGAGTGCAGCAGCACCCCCTGCTGGGCCATGCTCACTGACCTCATGCTCCGCGTGTCCCACCCACGCAGGGTGGTGTCGTTCGCCGTGGCCACTTGGGTGCAGTTGTGATGTGGGCTCCACCGTCCCGAGGTGAACCTCAGTTGCCCCTTTCCTTCCAGAGATGCGGAACTGGCTAGCTGGGATGCCATGGTGTGTTTTCAAGAAATAAGAAGGAAAGAGTAAGTCAAAATCTTCAGAAAACTCAAGAGACCATCCTGTACTCAAGGATATTATTGAAAATAATTATTGAGAATAACTAGGAAGCTCTGTCTTTGTTTTCATCCCTTAAAAGGCAAAAATGTTTGAACCTTATTTGGAAAAAAAAACTATAAAACTGAGCACAGCAAAAAATAGAAAGCATATTAATAGACCTCTATTAAAAAGGACTTGCTTGCAAGTGTGTGATTAGAGATAATCAGCTCAAACTTGAAGAAAACAATTCAAAATAACTCAAACATCTGGCTTTCTCCAAAGACAGAGACAGAACAAGTTAAGTCCACCTGACTTATTATTCTGGAATAACAAAGGGACAAACACATTTTCCTTAATCAAACACTGTTTTCTGCGCACATCCTCTTCCCTCCCCATCTGGAGGACCATGCATCCTTGACATGGAGGTAAACCACCTCGACAGGGCAGTGAGCAGAAAAGGAAGACCTCGCCAAGAGCCACTGGGAGCTTCTCTCAACACTGAATCCTCCTTCTGCCTGAGAGGGTGGGGGCCCTTGTGAACCCGGTGAAGAGTTCTTTTCTTAAAATCTTCCACTCATTTCTCCACCAACCTGGGATTTTATGCACAAAGGCATATCACACTGGCTGCATTGCTATTGCAGTTTTGGGGCTGAATTGTCTATTCACAGAGTGCTTTCTAAAAACAGAGAGGGCTTAGGCCTGCCTCAGGGCATTCTCTGTCATACCTGCCCAGAGTCCTCCCAGGTACACAAACACACCATCAGTTAATTCACTTGAACTGTCAAACCAGCTGTGCTCATTGGAACACTCAGAGCAAGGACCTGCAGGAGCCAGGTGGCCAGCTGCCCTGGGAGGCAGCTCTGCAGAAGCCCCTGAGAAAGGATCTGAATAAGCTGCTGGAAAGGCTGTGAGAGCTCTAGTGACTGTCCTGGTGCTAAAATCTATTCGCCATCTCACGAGATTTATCAAGAGCCCTCGCTGAGAAGTTAGCGTCCAGGCTGGAGATGACCAAGGCCTGAATGTCCCTACAGAGTGAGCAGCCAGTGCATGGTGAGGGCAGGGTCTGATTGGAAACCACGGTGCTGGGGAGCTGGTCCCAGCACCAAATGGAAAAGACATGTAGCTCCCAGTGAGAAGCAAAAGTCACCATCTAACCCAAGCGGAGAAGACCTCAAGGTTTCATGTGCACAGGCTGCAGGACCCTCTTCCCCTTCTCAGCAAGAGCCTCCAGACTTCTAGAGTTTCCACTGGGAGCCTGAGTGACAAGACTCACTGTCTCTCCGGTCTCATGAAAACAGACTGTGGGAGAGATTGGGGAACCCGAAACAATCCTGGTTAGAAGCTGATGAAGACGGTCATCATTAAGAGATGCACAAATGCTAAGCTCAATCAAGATGAGGTGCTGTCAGGTCTGGGAAGAACTGCCACCAACCCAGCAGAGCTCTTGGTGGGAAGAGGCTGAGAGAAGGTGTGGACGCCAGAGACCCATGTGAGGAGCAGGGGCCCCATGGCTTGGCATCTGGGCAGAGACATGGCAGGTGTGCTGTGCGTCTGGGCAGAGCCATGGTGGGCAGGGCTGGGGCAGCACCTTGTGTGCCACTGAGAGTCGGAATAAGGGTGGCCACAGGATGAGTCCAGGGCCCGGGCAGGAAGTACCTGCAGGGTGTGGTCGAGCAGTCAACCTGGATGGCCCACTGGCCTCCATGCTGACAGCCGCTGTTCTGCTCTTCCCCTCCTGAGTTCCCCCTACGTTCAACCCATCCTGCCCTGCCCCAGCCCATCCCCTCCACTGCTTCCTCACAGCCCAGTGGCTTGTGGAAGTCAAAGGATCTCTCCTTAGGAAAAGTTTGGGGGCTTTTGCTTTCCGATACCACCATGAAAATATATGCTCTACTGTCACATATCTCAAGAGTGACTTATTGATCCCCTCTCCATAAAAAGCTAAAGGGCTATTTCTGTTCCATTCAAGAAATGTTAATTGCATTCCTGCTGTGTGGGGACACTGTGGTGGGCATGGTCCCAGAGAGGGACCAAACAGGAAGAAGCCTGAAGAACGCAGAGGAGGAGGAGAGCAGAACCCTGCACTGGGGACTCAGACGAGACCGCACGCCTGGTGCTAGAGGACAGTGAGGGGTCAGGGAGCATCCGTCACGTGCCCCAGACCGGGAAGTGTGGCAGAGGCAGACACCAGAACAGGCAAACGTGTGAGAAGAGCAGGGTTCCGCCCGAGTCAGAAACACCAGGCCATTTGCAGCGGCCTGCTCATAGAGACCAAATCAGCCCAGCGCGAGGCAGAACTGTGGGCCAGCGCCAAGCCCTGTGACCCCAAGTCTGGGTCAGCTGTCAGGAGGGGCAGAGAGACGGAACCAGTGGGGCTGTGCCGCTTATAAGCGGCACATACCTCGAGACAGCGGCAGCATCCACAGCAGCTCAGAAATCAGACATGAACGAGCCGAGCCAAAGGGAAATGAAGCCAAGAAACTCGTAGCATCTCAGGACAAGGTCAGCATGGTGGCTGGACTTTGGGACTGACGTGCACCAGGCATACCCTCCCACCCTCAGCCCAGCTCCTCTCCCCACACCTGCTCAGTCCCCCTCCTTCTCACTCCAGCCCGGCTTCCTCACATCCACAGGGCAGGAGGCAAAGGTGCCCAGCGAGCCAGGGCCAGACATGCCACTGACCCAGCGGAGCAAGCCAGCCTCAGGCCTCTCCCCAGAATTCCTGGAGGATGTCAGCTGGCTCAGGCGGGTCAGGTGCCTGCCAGGAACAATCAACCATGGCAGAGTGGACGTGGGGGCAGGAGGTTGTTATAGCTCTGCTATAAAGTGCTAGGTGTCTCCCACACATTCTATTTCACTCTTCCAGCATCTCTTCCTTTCATGACCTTTGCAGCACATGAAAATGCAGATCAGTTGTGAGGGTGCAGTTATCCTCAGTTGGCATGTGGGAGTTGGGCTCCTTGGAGACACTCAGCATGGATCAGTAACAGCAAATGTGAGCACAGGCTGCTGTAAGGAAAGCAGACTTGGCAGCTCAGCACAACGCAGAGGTGAATGTGCACTGTGCAGGTCAGCACACGGAAGCTAGAAAGGACCCCCATCGCAAAGCCACAGAGGGAAGAAGACAATGACGGAACATTCATGATACGGCACCTCAACTCTAAGCCACAAGATGTTTGGCGAAAGCCAATTTGAGAGTAGCTCAAAAGAAATCTTTCCAACAGCTATGATGGAATACAGCTACCTAAGGAGGAGAATCAGGAGCAACATGACGACAAAAACTAAATGCACTCTAAAATATCGATTATTAGAGATAACGAGTGGGCTCCTCTTTGGCTTTACCTCTTGCAACTTACAGTTAGTTAGGTTCAATGTTTCTAACCTTCACATGGACAATATCAACGAAGGCATATTTTTGTAGTATCCTCTTGAGGTTAAAAAAAATAGTCACACAATTTTTACAGGTGCCATTTTAGTCTTTTGAAGACCTACTTTTTATGTTAATTTAGTATTCACTGATGACAACTAGTATGCTAAAAATGTAAGATCAACAAGCAGATATATTCAAAGGGTTAAATATATTATTCAACTAATCAATATTGTGTTCTAGTTCATTTTCTATTAATCATATTGGTTCATTATCAAACTCTTCAGAGAGATTAAAAACATGAGGTCACATCTTTAGTGGGTAATGTAAGTTCAGAAAAGTGAACTAGCTAGTTCTTGATAAAACCTGTGTGGGGAACACCATACAGGCACTGCAGGAAGGGCAGGTCTGAAACGCTGAATTCTCAACAGTGATTTTGTTATCAAAGTTCTCTGTACTTACATCTAACTCCTTGGAGAAGTTAAATCAGCAAAACTAAGCACTTCCATGTCCAAATCGCTCAGAGCATAGGACACATTCCAAACTTTAGCTTATAGACTAGTCTAGATTTTTGAAACAGTGAGTTAATTAATTAATCCACCAACCAACCACCAATTAACCATACAGCGAGTCAACAAGTACTTATTGAGAGAGCCCTTTGGCCATGCTGAGCAGCACATCAACAGACGGTTTCTGCTCTCCTTGTGCTCAGTATCTGGCTGCAGAGGTGAAGGCATGGAACAAAATAAAATACTTAACTGATAAAACTAATTATCAGTTACTCAATGCCAGGCCCTGGGCTGAGCATTTCATGTTCATGTCCTAGTTAAAGTATCACAATAGTCACATGATGTAGATATTACCACCCCCATCTTACAGATGAGGAAAGCGAGGCTCAGAGAGATTAAGTAATTGTACAATAAAAAAGGTTACAGTAACTAGAGAAAGGTTTCATGAGGTTTAGAAACTGAGAAGGGCTTTAGAGGCAGAAGTGACGTATTCCTACTTCAGTCAGTGAAATAGAGGAGTGACGTATTCCTGGCAAAAATGAAAGCACAAGCAAAGCAGAGAGAGAGGAAACATGCATAAACCTGATTGCATGGGAACTGCACACTGGGAGTGAGAGACAAGATGGAGCAGACAGAAGAGCCTGCAGTTGGACTGCCCTCAGGCTTCAGGGTAGAATCAAGAAGGAAGAGTGGGTGGGGATGAACCTGTCGGCATGAGGAGGCTGGCTGAAAACCCCGAAAAGGAGGCGGAAGAGGCCTGTGGCCAGTAGCGGCCAGGATGGCCTGGATGTCATGGCCTGTGGAGTTCCCTTCTCCTAAGCAGGCCTCCAAGAAACACAACTACCCAGAGTTGAGTGTAGTCACCCTGGTGATCAGGCTACAAGGGATTCTGACCTCCGCCTTGGTGGCTGAGCTGAAGCAAGCTGCCACACGGCAGGCCCCACATGGCAAGGGTCCTGAGGGTGACCTCGGCCAACAGTCATCAGAGCCCCATCCCGCCAACACCCCATCGATGAACTCAGAAGCAGACCCCACAGTCACGCCTCGGGGGCAAGCGCAGTTGAGACAC